TGTACCGTATTTATATTCATAATTTCATATGCATGTAGTAAAAAACGGTTTTTTCTATATTACAAACAGACACTCCAATTTTTATTAAATGTATAGATGTATAGATTATTATTTATTTATTTATTTATTCATCCAAAATAATACAAATTGCGTAGGATAACGTAATAGTAACATTACAGTAAAATTTTGTCAACAACATAATAGCAACTTAAACATTAAATCTCGGTATATCTATAGACTAACTGGCCCCAGCGACTTCGTCCGCGTGAAATTTTATTTTATTTTTCTAAAATAACAGTAGCGTAAGTTACTCCTTATTACATCAGCTACTTGCCAAAAAAAAGTCCCGTCAAAATCGGTCCAGCTATTTCAGAGATTAGCCGGAACAAACAGACAGACAGACAGACAAAACTTGTAAAATATGTTATTTTGGTGTATGTACCGTATTTATATTCATATGCAAGTAATAAAAAACGGTTATTTCAATATTACAAACAGACACTCCAATTTTATTTACATGTATAGATGTATAGATTAAAAAAAAGTAACAGTCATAAGGCTAGTCGTATGCCTAATATATATAATAATGTAATAAATTCATTTAAACAGAAATTGCGGGAACATTATTTAAATTTGTAACTTTTTTACTGTCCTTCTCCTTTTTTCACATCTTTCTGTTATATCCATATAGTTCTCTCTATATTTTCTGATTTTCTTACTTTCAATTTGAGACTGTACTTATAATTTGATTATCGGATCATTATGTATTTACTTATATATAATATTTATACATTTATGGGTTATATTTAGATATATATTTATGTATGTATATTGTTATTTTTTTATAGAAATGTATATTTTGCTTATCTTTATTATCTTTATAAATCTTTTTTTGACATTTCTTATTTATATTAGTGCACCGCCAATAATCTTTCGCTGCACCACTCATGGTTGCCTGGTAAATAACGCGGCAAAATATTAAGTCCGCCACATGTACAAATTTTTTTGTGCATTAAAGTTAAAGAAATAAAAAAATACAATACTGTTTATGGGACACAGTCACCTAGATACATCAAAATAATAATTGCATTTAATAATGTCTAGTAAGACAAATTCAATATTGTCTACTAGGCACTGCTGTATCTAAACTGTGTCACCCCACCTTACATTTTGCTACTTTTATTTAGTATATAAGATCATTATTTCTATGTACACATTGTCAGTTTATCATCATCTGTACAATACATCGTCTCGACCAGCAACATCTTATTATTCACCCGCAACAGTGGTGACCCCGACGTGATCGAGCCGACGTGGTCGAGACGATAGCTGGGAAAACGACGAGATCAAACAAGAGATCTCTGTCTGACGGCATCCTGCGCACCACCAACGATTGCACATTTCCACCGGCTTCCCAGAAGCGGGTCTCACCGGCTCGGAAATTCAAGAGGCATAAAAGTCGTTGGCAATACTGCACAACAAGGATCCTGCCGTGCTACTGACCCCCAGTAAACACAACTGCCTGCTGGATATAATCTCTGGACGAAAAATTGAAACTGGAAAAATAAAGCAAAAATGCTGTCTACAAAAGTACAGCCAACAGTCACCGCCGACGTCATTGCACACCTGTCGTCACTAATTGCGACACTGCCATCAGAAATTGCTGATATACGCGAAAAGCACTCGCCACACACAAACAGACGCAGCAACTACCGATCTAGGTCAAATTCGCACCTACGGTCATTGCATAGTCGGAAAAATGACTATTATTTATATTATATCATCGCAAAATATAAAGAAAAGGCATACAAATGTGACATGCCGCGCTCCTATAGACAACCGTCGGAAAACTAGATTCAGAATAAGACGGAACGCTGTGCTGTTCATCCGTCTAACCGCCTAGCTATAACCGACTATAGAATTTTGGTGGACACCGAAAGCAAAAATCTCGGTGAATAAAAAACAAGCACAGACCAAAGAGAGCGCTAGCGAAATCAAATTATTCGCCGCAAACAATTAATATGAGCAAATGCGAGTTCTTCACAAATGAGTTAGATTTTCTTGGTTATCATATAACGAGCCAAGGGATGAAACCAACGCAAGAAAAATGGCAAGCAATCGACGAGTACCCTAAACCCACGACAGTCGAAGATTTACGTCGTTATTTGGGTATAATGAATTTTTATTGTTACTAAAGTGCATAATATCTTAAATTTTACAGTTAAATTTTATAATTTTTTTTTGTGTGTAATATATATATATTTTTTTTCTCTCAAGGGGGGAATATCTATGGGACACAGTCACCTAGATACATCAAAATAATAATTGCATTTAATAATGTCTAGTAAGACAAATTCAATATTGTCTACTAGGCACTGCTGTATCTAAACTGTGTCACCCCACCTTACATTTTCCTACTTTTATTTAGTATATAAGATCATTATTTCTATGTACACATTGTCAGTTTATCATCATCTGTACAATACATCGTCTCGACCAGCAACATCTTATTATTCACCCGCAACACTGTTTAATGAAAATGCGTGTTGTCTAGTGCTTTGAGATGTATCAAAATAAGGTCAACAAAAAAGTCCGTGATGGTATATGTCTATCTCTTAAGGATAACCAACAATAACCATTTTTTATCTTTTACATTTTACGGGATTTTTTTATCGTATGTTTCCCTTAAAATCATGTAAACTATGTTATTATGTCATAATCTAAAGAAATAATAATATTTTATAGTGACATATCCACTATAAAATACCAAAAAGTAGCAATGTAATTCGTTACGCGCGAATCAGGTGTTATAAGGTCAAAGGTCGGTGCACCCCGCGTATTTGAGTGTAGAGTTTATAGTGCTTCTCTGGATGTCTTTAAGAGAAAATGGCAGTATGTACGTGTATATGTACAAGTCCTTAAGTGTTAAGTTTTTCAAATGTACAATAAAGAATAAATATTTTTAAGTACAGTACTTACGTACATTAATATAATACCTACTTTTTACTTGTATCTATTGTTATCAAAATTAAATTATAAGTTCTTAACTTGACCACGACTATGTGACCCTCTCTTGGCGCCAAAACGAGTGAAAAAATGAACAGCATACGACGACGACGCAGTACCTATAGAGTGGAGCAACTGCTTATTCAGTTTTATTCAACTATTTAGTCCCTCCACCGTTACAATGAATGGAGGCGGATATTACAATGTACGTAGCATTGCGAATATAAAATATCTAGATTAGGTATAATAAATTCATAATTCATAGGCCGTTACGGTATCAGAGCCAAAGTCTTCTTTCTTTGTTTATGTACTGTTAGATGCGACAGCGACTTTGTTTTTATATTACTATGTAATGATTGATATACCTAAAATAAATAAAATATCTGAGGTTTGGACAAAAATTCAAAAGGTACTTAATTTTTAAAAAGTATTTTGAAAATACCTATTTTGCATTTAGTATTTGAAATACAAAACACAAAACTATTTTTGTTTTTAGAGTGACATTTCTATGAATTCACTGTCGATAGCGAGCGGTGCGATGGAAAAAGATAACCGTTTATAAAAATATAATAAATAACCCTGGACAATTAACACAGACTGATACTGAACTGATATAAATAGATATTTTTATTTTGTAAATACATATATAATATACATATAAAACACCCAGACCGATGAAAACAATCGATGACCGATGAGTACAAATGTTTGCATCGTGCGAGAAATCGAACCCGCGACCATCGGATGTAAAGCGGTGTGACCACCGAGGCAGTCGAAATATATAAATAATCTTATGAATTTAATTTATTCTAATTTGTTTATGTGCGCGGGGTGCGGTGTACGGTGCTCCCCCTGCCTCCACCGTTGCTGGAGCTTGCATGTATGGAGCATTGCGAATATAAAATATCTAGATTAGTAAATTCATAATTGATAGACCGTTACGGTATCTATATATATTCGGATTAAAATAAGTATCGCAGTAAGGACCAGTATATAAAGTGATCAACACAATTAACTGATTTTTGAAATATATATACAGAGCCAAAAAGTCTTTGTGTATTCAAAAAATATCTAATTTGTTTGTGTGCGCGGGGTGCGGTGTACGGTGCAGGGGGGACCCTGCCTCCACCGTTGCTGGAGCTTGCATGTATGGAGCATTGCGAATATAAAATATCTACATTAGTAAATTAATAAATTCATAATTGATAGACCGTTACGGTATCTATATATATTCGGATGAAAGTAAGTATCGCAGTAAGGACGAGTATATAAAGTGATCAACATAATTAATTGATTTTTGGAATATATTCAGAGCCAAAAAGTCTTTGTGTATACCAAAAATTTAGCCGTTCGGAGCCATTCAGTCACGAATTATTAGTAAAAAAAGTGTCGAGTATATCGTACTATCGACGAATATATATGGCCGCATCGCAAAATAGAATGCGACGTTGCCATACCGCCTGAGATATACGCGATAGAGGTCAAGTTATTCAGTGCAAAAGGTGGAATCAGCAAGTGTTTAGGTTGTGGCGTGATCAACAAAGTGCCCAAAGAGGTGTTTATATATATATATATATATATATATAAAATTATTAATATTTTAATAGTAATCAATAGTATTATTAATTATAGTTGTTTATGAGTCAAGCAACATGAACTTTGTGTGTATATCTAACTTTTCTTTCTACCATTTACCTATTTCCTGATCCAAATAATATATCAGAAACAACTAGTGTAATTCTGTCTAGCTATCCAACATGATTTATTTTAGAAAGCTAAAGTTAATTGGTAATGAGGTCTATTATTAATATTATGTTATTTATATAATTATTAATATTATTATTACTATTAGAACATAACCCCTTATATAAACCCTAAAGTTAATTCCTATGGCCAAAATAAACGCAGGCTAATAGCTTAATTCATAATACTAATTTAAGGAGGAACCCTAGATGTCCCTTCGAAAATAAAATACTGGAACATTTTACAAGTAACAATAATAGACTTAACTTACAATTTATTAAGAAATGGTATTACAGAAGTAAACTGATATTAGTATATTGTAATATAGTAAGATGTGAATTAATTTGTGAGTGTAGTTAGAGCTGCTACCACATCCCCTCTATGTTCTCTCAATGTTCTTTCAGCTAGTGTTCTTGAGATTTCCATTTCTCTTACCTGAAATACGAAAACATGATAAAAAGTTAAATTATTTTAAAAAAATAGGAGACCTAATTATTATACACAATTCAATGAATTTAGGTTTACAACTAAACTGCTTATTTGTTTGTTGTATGATAATATTATCCACATAAATAACATTTTAGAGATTATGCTCCAATTTTTTTACTGGCTTAAATAAGTAGTAAGTAGTACAGTCAGGTAAGATATTCAGAATACTGAATTGATTACGTAAATGAAACTTTATTTTATTAATTCAATATTCAGTTTTATGTACATATATACATTTTAATAATTAATATGGAATCATCATATGAATTATTTAGAGCCAGATTTCTCAGTAATAATAATGTATCAGTGAATAAATGGTTTACCATAAAGTTATAAAGACAGATAATTGTATCAAACATATTGGAAAAATGTACAGATATTACAATATTCGAATGAGTACTATGAAAGTAATTTGAGTACTACTAAAAACAATGAATTGAAATTTCAATACATTATAAAATTTTAAATGTATGTAGGAAGTAGATGAGAACTGGTTTTGTAAATTTGCTGAAATACACAGTAGCTCAATATATATTAAAATATTTTTTACTGCATGACATTAAAAAATTATCATACTTTTAGCTCAAGTACTCATGCAGTCTTCAATAGAATTGTTTTGTTCTAGGATTCAAAAAGTATAAAATAAGTAAGATATAATTGAAACACCTTTTTTAAATAATTAATATTTTAGTTGAAACATTATATGAGTGTAGGTGTGATATAATGCCTAGTAAATAAATTTAAGAAAAGTTAGTCTCCAGAAATATCTAAAATTAACTTTAAAGAAAATCATGTATACAATTTCTGAATAAATTATTTCTACATATTTTTTTATACAATAACTTTTCACTTTTCAGAATATAAAGTAGTATTTCCTGCTCCTTAATTAATCTGACTTTCAAGTCGAACAGTGTCATAAAGTAATACTTACAATCAATTCAATGTCATCTTTCTTTACAGACACTTTCTGTAATTCCTTTTCTTTTTCGAGGCGTTCTGCTGCTTCTTTATTTCTTCTATCACCAATTAAGGATAGTGCCTGAAATTTGAAAATTTTCACAATCATTTAATGTATTCAGTTTAATTATCAATAGTAAAAGTAATGTATGAGTGGTGTCTTTTATTATCAAAAGGTGTACCCTTCATATGTAAGGAACTATATCCCCAATCTATTGAAAAATTATGATGTATATATATATATAATCTTTGAAAGGTTTTATTATTTCTCGTTTATAGGATTTATTACTTGTTTAAGTCGAAAAATAGAAACAAAACTAATAGGAAATACCAATCGAGAAAAAAAATATATCAACAACAGTTATAAATAAAACTATAGATAGAATAATTTTTTTGGTTATATTTGATTTCAATAAATTTTGAGGTTACTATCTGCTTATATGCATCAGTACATTTTAATCTTCTAATACTGTAAAATTCAATGGTTTCCAAGACCATACGATATTTTCGTTACATTTTTTATCATACAAAATTAAAAATTGGATTATTGGTTAGCTTAAAAAAATCACGGTAGACTCACTCCAGATATATCTTGGGATGAAATTTCTTTTTCTTCTGCATAATCGGTGACTTTTTCTAAGTCAGCTACTCCACTGTCGTGTTTTGCAGTTTTCTTTTGAGTTTTGTCTTTATCATGTTGGATATCATCAGCATCACCATTGATTTCTTCATCGGCCATGTCTAGTAAATAATGTTTTAATTAAATAAAATCTATTTCATAGATGATAGAAAAAGTAACTCAAGCTCCAGTATTCATATTAATTCTACAATCATGACAAAATCTTTTTAATTCAAACACATGCACGATAATTTGCCATTTACCACAGACAATAATAGACCACAGATTAGGAGAAGTACAAGTAGGACTATGGTCTCATAGTCTGGAACAGATTTTTTTGAAGTGGCAGTACCAGACTTTACTGATATATGAAATATTATGTTATCTATGCTGATATTGAGTTACAATAAGTGGACGGTTGATTGTTGTTTTAAAAAAAATTTTAAAGTTTAGTTTTCGGTTTTTAATATTGAAAAAATATGTTTTTTCCTACATGCATATGAATATAAATACGGTACATACACCAAAATAACATTTTTTACAATTTTTGTCTGTCTGTCTGTTTGTTCCGGCAATGGCTTAAACGGCTGAAATGGCTGGATCGATTTTGACGGGACTTTTTTTGGTACGTAGCTGATGTAATAAGGCGTAACTTAGGCTACTAGGCTACTTTTATTTTAGAAGAATAAAGTTAAACTCTATGCAGGCGAAGTCGCCGGAACAGCTAGTTTTAAATATTTTTATTTCAATTGTTATTGGTGTTGCAGGAAGCAGTGACTTATACATAAAAGGAAACACTTGTTGTTACCGAATAGATACAACAATATATAAAAAATATTCACCTGCTTTCGTTTAGCAAAAAACATATTGCTGAGTAGGTAATTATAGGTTAGCTTAAATTTCCCTGAATTATTGATAAATAAAAAATACGTTTTATATTGAAATCGATACCTCAGATTATTTTTAATAGTCAGTGGACGTATAAGATTATTTTACAATACTATTAATGTAATTGTAATTAAATTGTAATAGAACAGAATAGCATTATTATCTATATGTTCTAAATAGTCAAGACAGACGACAAGGAGAGATGACCGGAATAGAAAAGGGTATAATTCATAATGTGTGTACCTAATAAGTGATTTGAATTGATGAATTTAATTTTACAATAGTATTTTAGTCAATAACAATAACAGTGTTGTTTAATTGAATACGGAATATAGAATGAACTCTTGCTCTTGAACGTATAAAACAAGTATAAAATGCTATGACACAGCGCAATTTCATACGTATTGTTATATCGGAATTAGTTTTATAGAGTAGGCAAAAAAGTTTATAAATTAAAATTTTATAATAGATATTGACTAATTTAAATTAAATATTGTTTTGTCCCTTTTATAGTTTTTATTATACATTTTAACAGTTAACAGCGACTTCATCCGTGCAGAATTCAGATTCTTTTATTATAAAATAAATAAATGTTCTAAAATTAACTCCCTATAATATTAACTATTTCCGAATGAAAGTCCCGTGAAAATCTGTCCAACTGTTTAAGAGACAAAAAGTATTTTATTTATACAATTAGGTACATACATAGGTATAGGTACACTTTCGAATGATTTTAGTGAAATCTGTTAATTTGAAATAACAAACAGACACTTAAATTTTATTTAGATGTACCGATGTATTTATTAAAATTACGAGAAGTAGTAGCTGATACGAAGTTCACGAAGTTTAGTTCATCAAGTAAATATTAATAAATAAACTTACTTTGTAAAATAATTTTAATTAAGTATCATGTACATTACTATCACAGGCATTATTATTAACATTATTTATACACAGAACAGAGAATCTATTCTATGTATGTATCGATACATTCAGATGTGGACCGCGGCACCAGTGGTGGCAATCTGATTATCTTCATTTTTATTTTCTGGTGTATACGGTGGAGGTGGCACGCCATGATCATGTGTCTGAAAATGTTAAAAACTTTATAGATAACTGGCTGATGATACTCAAGACTTTTATCTATCTCCATATTTAATCTATTTTGGCGACATAATACATGTTTTTTTAAATTTACTTATTATAATAAAATCAAGAAAATTTAACACAATGGAATACATATTATGTGTTCAATTTTCTTACATTATTCGTAAAAACATTCAAATACGTGAAATGGGTATAAGTAAAAATAAGTAGATATATTGACTGCTTTTAAATAAATTTCTATCTTTCTATATTACAAAACAAAGAAGTAAGCAGTTCTGTGATTATAAAATATAGGTATATATTCTATACTAGATATACTTACAAAATTATCACTAACATAATGAATTCCTGGATGTGGTGTGCTATCAGGCGGTGATGTGGAATATCTGAATGTAATTAATAATAGTAAATATAAATGTATTTAAACAAAAATATAATGTAATGTCACTACAATATTTCACTTTACAAATCAAAATACAGCTTCTGTACAAAGCTACTCGGTGGAAGAAGTAATAGATAAAATAATAGACAACTTTGTATAAAATCTACATCGGTACCTAAATTTACTGTGCCCGTGGTTTCACCCGCGTGAAATTTATAGCCTATATGTTATTCTGATGTATAAAAGCTATATTACTGTAAAGTTTCATCAAAATCCGTTCAGTAGTTTTTGCGTAAAAGAATAACACACATCCATCCACACTCATAAACTTATACTCTACTACTATATAACTAAAATATGAATTAAGATGTCTAAGGTCATAAATTACATCAACATTATATTTCTACTTGCCTACCTATTTATTATTCTTACCTCGGTGGAGCATCTCTTAATCTTTCCTCTACATATATTTGTAAACTTCCTATAGATAAACGGCTATCGTAAGGAGAACTTCTACCCATTGGTCTGTAATCAAATTAATTAACATTTAAGTTTTCAGTAGAAGTGTTTCAGTTTTTTTACAAGCAACCGAATATTTTCAAGTTACGTAACTAATAACAACGACAAACTAATGTAATCACTTTTATACAAAAAGGGGAAAAGAACATAATAACCAAGTGAAAAACTGGAAAATTTATTGCATAAATTCAGAAGAGATTCTGTTTCATATTTGATATTTATCCATCCTATTTCCTAGCCGTGCATCTGTGGATAGCGATAAGATAAGGCACAGGCAGTGCAGACGGCCATTTCATGGTACAAAGATGAGAATTCTCCTCCCACGGTTCCTTATTATACTTGATGGAGTCAACAAGTCTGTAGTAGATAGGCACCATTATAAATCGTACCTATGATTACTTACTTACTAAATGGTTGACTGACTGGGATAGATAAATTTCCTCGAAAAGTAACTGACTCCAGCCATATAATTATTATTTTGGATAACAATAATTTATTTTTTCATATATGTCTTACAGTGATGCCAATTATTTACTTGAAATATATAGCTTGATTGCTACATACCTTATTTCCGTTGCCATGCACAGTTTAAAGAGTAATACGAATGTTGCAACAATTCCAAGGATAAGAGTAGTTCCCATGATAATCTGTGTAGTTGAAACTACAAGCATTTGGTCGAAAGTATCTCTGAGAAACGAATAGCAAAGTTAAGTATATGATTCAGTGTATTTTTGATTCTTGTGTAGGTTTAAATTGTTTAGTTTACTCCTTGTGACAAATGATACTTATGTTATAATAACTTCTCTCTAAAATTCTCATATGTTCTGATGCATAACATCAAATGCGAGCATTCAAAATATGTTAACATTCGTTCGGCATAACTTCGCTCTTATTGAATGTAACCGATTCAAACTAGTTTTTTCAACGTATAGGTGTTTCCGACCTTGGTAATTTTTATATAGGATGTTTTATCTAGCTATGTATTAGGTTTGTACCTATTTATTAGTATAATATAATATTTATCTATAATTATGTCCAAATCTTTTTAATTTAAACATACACGATGATTTACCATTTACTACAGACCATGGATTAGTAAGATAATAAGGAGGGCTATAGACATAGAATTAATATGGATATTGGAGCTTGAATTACCTACTTTTTCTTTCTATCATCTATGAAATCTAGATTTTATTTAATTAAAACATTACTAATCACAGCCGATGAAGAAATCAATGGCGATGCTGATAATATTCAACATGATGAAGACAGAACTCAAAAGAAAACTGAAAAACATGACACTGTACGCCAGTATCGTATTTTGCTGACTTGGAAAAAATCACCGATTCTGCAGAAGAAAATATAAAGTGCACTGATATCCTCAAAATTGTTTGAAATTAAATTTAAGCAAAAAAAATAATTTTATCTGTAGTTTCAGAAAAAAAGAAAAGGACTTAAAGAGAGTGTCTATAAAAAAAGATGCCCGTTGCGAGATCTGAACTTACCTAATGATAATGATGATGTTCCATTACCTGACAATAACTCACCTTCTCTTCAAGGAGCCAGCATCTGAAGCACTGATCCAATTCCAATGAAAGTTATTGATTTCACTAGGGAACAGGAACTTTTAGTGCTACCTCCAATGGATCCTTACGAAGCATTCAGTTAATGAATTGTTGACGTTTTTATTGGATCTTATTCTTCGAGAAACAAATGCAATTGCATTAAGAGTGGATACGGCACAGAATGTGAAGACTTAACTAGATTTAGAAAGATTAAATAGAGAAGAACTGCTGACATGTTTAGGACTCTTTCTTCACGCTGGAACAATTCGACTAAAGCGTATAAGCGATTATTGGAAACGACACTATTTATTTAATACTCCATGCTTCGGACAATTCATGTCTCGCAACCGTTTTTTACTCTTTAGGATTGTTGATTTGTTTAGAATGCCTGCACCTTCTGCACGTCTGAGGAAAACCGCCTGATAAAAATTCAACCATTTATGGATTATTTTAACAATAAAATGAAAACCATATGTTGTCCCGGTACAAAAATTTGTCATTGGATGAGTCCATAGTTTTGTGGCTCGGTCAATTGCTGTACATTAAGAATAAAAGGCACAACTATGGCATTGCATGAATGGCACAGCTTTATGTTCTAGCTGAGCCAGATGGTACCATTTAAAATGCCAAGTTTACGCCTGTGCAAATGATGAGACATCAGGGCAAGGACATGGTAAAGACGTCTTCAAGCTCCTAGAAGATAGACTAGATTGCGGCCATCGTGTATACATGGATAATTATTACAACTCTTATGTTTTGGTTGTGTTCAATTTCACAAAATTTCTAGATCGACAGACATACCGCACAGGAACTTTAAGTATAAACTGTAATCCTGTTGAAATTGGGACTATCTCATTGAATAAAGGAGAAAAAAATCCTTATTCTTGAACGGTGTACATATTCACAGAACATGGTGACGAGATGATAGAAACTACTTTCAAAAGAGGATCTGTGGTATTGAAACCAACAGCAATTGTCCATTATAATAATTTTATGTCGGGCATAGATCTTCAAGCTTCGATGTTAGCTTATTATCCAGTCTAAAGGAAGACACTGCGCTGCTATCAGAAGCTGTTTGTGCATATGCTGCAAATGAACCCCACTAATGCATTCTACTTGTACAAAAAAATTTCGGCAATAATAATATGAATCTATATGATTGCCGTTTGAAGATACTGGAAAAACTCCTACCTGTTCCTAATAAAGTCAATCGACGCAATGTTTTGAAAATTAAATATAAACTCACTAAAATAGAGAAGTGAGACTAAAGAAAGTAGGAAGTGTCGTTACAGAAACTACTGAAGTGGCCCGAAAAGAATGCAAAGACTGAAAAGCACATAGAAAGAGCGTGCAAACAACTTATGAATGTAAACAATGTGAAGGCTCTCCAGATTTTTGTACAGAATGTTTCTGCCTAGTACATTCCTAAGTTTTTTAAAGTTCCATTTTTTATATTATATTTTTTTATCACTCATTTATGCTAGTAACATTTTTTTTCGTCAGATTTTGATTAATTTCTTTGTTTTCGGTCAAGAACTGAGGTAAAATAAGTTAAAAACTTGCATTGATTAGTGTCCTTAGACGATATGTTGCTTGGAATTCAATTAAAAACATGGGTTTGTCAAAATCTTTAATACGCAAAAATGCATGCAAATGTTTTTTTTATTAAAATAATAATAATTGTAAATATGTATATAGGTACATTCATCCATATTTTTAAATATTTGTACATACTTAATCAAAATTCGCCATAAAAAAAATGGTTCCTAGCTATTATTTTCCATTACTTAATTTCGTAGGCAGTAAATGTGTTAACATAAAATAAAGTTATAATCGTACCTGCAAATCCATTCATTAAATGAATTGTAACAGGGTTGACAAACCCCCTGCCAACAATGTAAGCTTTCACTTTCTGCATGGCTGCAGCACATACCGTGACATTTATCTCCTAAGCCTGGAAATAGGTATATATATATTATTAAATAGTCAATAATAAGTACCTATTTGTTCATAGCGACATCAAATAGCGCGACGGCGTATAATTAAAAAAAAAGCGGCCGCTAACTCGGCTCCGGAGGTTCGTAGCTTGATGTGCAGCCGCAGTCTACACAATTTACTTAATAAAAAAGAATAACAAATGCAATATTATTGGATATAGGTAAAAATGTATAAAAAAAGAGAATTAGTCGCATGTGTAGATAAAATATTCGGACCTGGACATTTTAAGCAGGCTCTTTGTAATGGATTTGGCAAATATCCGTCGCTGCAATAACACTGTCCATGAATGCACACATATCCATCGCCAACGCATGTCGGGCTGCATTCCTCTGAAAGCACAGAAAAACTTCTAAATTGAATGGATTACTTCAAGGAATTGATCTACGATTTCTATATTACTTATACATGTAGAAAGGGGTGTTAAGTTTGGGGATTGATTTAGAAAAATCAATCTCCAATCCGAACGACCCTTTCTAGCGAGCCCTTGCTAAAGGTCGCCACGCGGTTCCCACTTGAAATCATTAACATTAATTTCTAGTGAATTCGTTGTCATGTGCTAAGCACAAGCATCTGATTTTATTTTCATACCATCATTACTATATGTACACTAGCACCCCGCGTTTACCGTTAACGCAGGCGGCACGAATCCATTAGGGTAATACCTAAAAAAAATTAACTGCACAACAAACAACCAACACATTTATTACACAAATCTTAAATGTCCTACATATTGGACAAGTCAACTATGAAATCAATAATACAAAAAAATAATAATTAAGTTGTTCGGGCACGTTAAATATTGTATTATTAATGGTTTTATTTGTAAACAAGTTTGTACCCTTAATTAATAATTATCGATAGATTCCATGTTCTTTGAAAGTTTATTGCATCTACTTTAGACACTCGATTAATTAAATACATATTAAATTTGTTATGTAAATTACCTTCATATTCTTTAGGATGAGCACACACGAGCACCAATAAACAAGAAAATTGAACCCAATACGATTTAATGACCATTATTCGCTTTACATTGTATTGATTTGAAGGGAATTTGTTGTTTTACTCAACATGCTGTTCTGTACTACATCGCATTTTCCATAAAACTGTACTGCGATAACTTATCAGTGATCTTTTGTTGAAGCATGATATGCTGCTACTATATATATACCAGCCACAACATATCTACCTACATATTATACAAAGAGTAATAAGTCATCGTAATTTGACACAAGCCCTAGCCTGTGATATCAAAAAATCTGGAAAAATATTTTTAAATTTCTGTACAACATACTTTCTACATTATATATTTATATAGGTAGAAACAAAACCTTAGCTGTTAACATCAGATATTTGAGTATTAAATATAAAGAATAATAGCTGTAAACTTAGAATTTTTCTGTGCGATAAGTATATCAGATAAAAATAGTATATTAGTGAGTGTTTTAATATTAAACACATTAGGTGTGTTTTTAGATAAAAATATACGTGTTTTTTATCCATATTAATATTATAAATAATGAAAGTGCGTGATTGGTGCAGCCAATGACAACAGTAATTAAAGACGTAGCCTAGTAGAAGAAATATATTTAACGAAATAAAATAGTATAATAGAGCGAACTATGTCGATGGTCGCCCAGGAAATGTACCTAAATGTATAACGAACAAAATAATAGTAGGTAGTTATTAAAGAATATAATTTAAAAAAATATGTATATTCAAATTTATAATGTGTCAAACAAGTGACAAATTAATGGTAACTATGAATATAATTAGAAAATTATAAATATTCAAGAAATTTTAATGTAATAAGTTATCGCTGCACTAGATAAAAGTTATATTTTTTCTCAGAATATCTGACAAAGTCGTAGCTAAGAGCTAGTTATAGAAAAATAAGTAGTATTGAATAGGTAATAATTATTGTTGTGTTTTAATCTCTATTTCTGGTTAAAATAGTTTAGTTTTATAAAAACTTATTATATTGTTCGTATCGCATTCTTCATCATTATTCGCACAATCACTGATTTTGAAAAGAAAGGTATATGTAGGTATACAAAAGGATGCGAGGCTTGCCTTCCAATCACACACAGAAATTATTACATGTATCTTTACTGTTTATATTTTTGTGGAAGGCATACTAGTCCGAATAAAAAGTACCTCATTACTATTTAATCTTTATATTAAATGTTATCGGTTACCGCTTATGTTATGCTGATATTACAAATAATAAAGTTCTATATCTAGTTTTAATCTTATCTATATTTTGTACAATGCTACAATGCAAATAATTTGTTAATGTATCCATGTGAATTAATGAAAAGTCTTCGTTTACTAAGTAAAAAATAACTGTAGCAATCACATTTAGTGTGAATAGATTTTTTCCTTGTAGGTATAGTACATACTATACCTACAAGGAGAGTGGTCCGATTCAATTTGTCAAAAGTCCTCAAAGGAGTCATTGTGCTTGCCACGAGGCCAATTTAAGAGATTACCTACAGATCAAGTTCAGAAAAAGAATTCTTTAATTAATTGTAAATACAGGTACCTATTTAAAACTAAAGGAATTATTTTATTCGCAACGCAATTGAATATATACATTATCAACCTGATTTATAGCTAGTAACAACATGATAAAGTTCTGATTATAATTTTCTCATTTATTTTAAGTACGAGTTGTAGCTGTAGCAATATATTGTAGTGTATCTACTTATTTAGGAAATATCTATTATCACAACAGTTACCTGTAATAAAGAGAATTCTCCTAAACAAATGGTAACATAATGCTACTCTCTATAAATATGTAGAGAACAAACTCTTCATTATCGTCTTTTAGTTTGGTCTCAAGTATATTAGGCACAAAGCAGCTTGCTTTGTAAGCTACAGTTGCAAGGGCGCTAGCTGTGGGCAGCAGTAGTCCGAAAAAATGATGACAGGATGCCCGGTCTGATCATGTATATTGCGATTAGCACACAACTTCAGGTTAATGGTTACGTATTAGTTACGTAAAAATATAAAATAGGGTTGATGTTGGCTAATCCGTAAATGGTGCAGCAAATGTCTATTTCGTTATAGAGCCAAGTAACCAGACTTTAGTCTCATCTTACGAAGTAAATTTATTGTCATTTATATAAACATTATTCTTCAGATTATCTACAACAATTAAGGAATATACAAGGTTAATAGTTCTTGTTTCTTAAATTTGATCAGAAGCTGTATGAGTTAAATCTCTAACTTACAAAACATTTTAATTGAAACGTATCTTTCTTGTTTTGAATATCGTTTAAAAACAGAATCCACGTGATCATCATTTATGTTTGTTCACGTATCTAGTCACAAAGTCATTGAACCTCATTACACGGTCATATTGTAATGAATTATTACGGTATATTTTCCATTACACCGAAAAATGATAATTTGTTTGAAAAAATTAGACAACATTATATTAGATTATTTGGTTTGGTAATCATTAAATGAAAATTTCTTAAACCAATAGGTAACCTACTAAGTTAGAAATATTAAAAACTTAATAGTAATAAACACGTACAATAATAATAGTATATAGTCAATGTTGCGTATGTGTATGTACTTATAATTTATACATATGTATAGTACATAGAGATATAATACAGATACGATATAAATGTTAAGTCTCATGAAATATGTAATATGACTTATTCAAAGAAAAGAGAGGAGGACTTTAATAAAAAGCTTTTCATATAAGTATTTGTTAAACTATGTACATAAACCTTGTCTGTTAATAATATACGTTTGAGCCTCGTAGTAATGGTATAAGCTCAATAGAATAAATTTAATTTAACATCAAAATGGTAAATAAATATATAAAATGGTAACATTATAGCTATTTTTCTAAATTCTGTTATAATTGGTGTTGATTATTTTAATATTTGTATAACAAAAACACTAAAATATCTTACATACGAGTAGATTTCGTCCTTGTTACTATTGAGATTGAGCCACCATTAAATATAGATCAATATCTAGTAGTACGTACCTACTTTAATATGAAACGGAAATGTAAAAATAACTACACTACTATGTTTTATTGTATTACAAATACTCAGGGTTATTATACCATCTACTATAACTTAGAATTTACTATTACCTAAAACCCAAATATTGTCAAACTACAATCCTACAATATCCCAAAGTTATTACGACAGATATGTGGCTATTAATACGTGCTACAAAATATAATTAACCTGGATGCGATAACGATTATTCTCAAAACAATCATAATAGGAGAAAACGGCTCGTGGTTCTGCAAATGGAAATGTCAACATAATCCAAACAAACTGCTATCCTTGCTGTGTGACCCGGGCTATTTCGACTACATCGAATGAGAAATGTAAAATTCCCTTATCAGATAATTTTTAGAAGTTTTGTGTCTAGCACAAAAATTCCGAATTTTGTCTATTGTACTATTCTCTTAGCATGTAAAGATAAGTATTGTAGCAAGAGGATAGTACAATATTTATTTTGTTTTAAAATGCTATAAGATAGAAGGTTCGTATTTTATATTGGAAAATTTATGGCAACATTTTATTTTGTATCGAATTCTACGTTCGGTTATTTGTTGTTTATCTGTAATGTGTTTTATGCATTACTAGCTGCGCCCACAGTTTTATCCGCGTTAAATAATCAATAAAAAATATAGTTTATATGTTATTCTGATGCATAAGCAATATTACTGTACCTAAAGTTTAATCAAAAACCGTTCAGTAGTTTTTGCATGAAAGAGTAACAATCATCCATACTTACAAACTTTCACGTTTATAATAATATATAATTAAGATTAAGTTTAAGTGGTACTTTTATTTTTTTTTGGCTACTGGCATATTGGCATAAGACCAGCTGTATTTTGGCATAGAGTATCCCATGAAGCTGTGTGGAGGCATTTCGGAGCTTTATGTATGTGAAACTTGTTTTATAGATTTCAATTATTTTTTGTTTCTATTGTATTATTATATATTCCTTACTTCTTTCATAACAATCTGTGTGTACGTTTAATTAACTCTTCTAGGAACTATTTCGTCTTTTCTCTGTTTCGAAAAAATGTTATTTATAATTACTATAAAAGACAGAAACAAAACCCAAAACTCTCTAAACATGGGTTCACTTAAAATAGCCGAGAATTCAGTTTTTTCGAAATAGACATATATAGTAATAGCTTTACATGAGCTATTACTTTACCAGACTAAGCTATTGGTGTGAATGTCTGTAATAATTACTAAATAAATACTAACTATAACTATTTTCCAATTGTAATGTAAAACTACATAATGGCGGACTAATTATAGAATAAAAAGACGAGCCTATCAACGAAACAAATTAGCTATTTTAAATGAACATCTACACGTATCTATTATTAATATATTAATGAAAAGTTTTGTTGCGAGATGAAATGTTTAACTGGAATATAAAGTGATTGAATTATGAATATAATTATGTTTTAATAAAATTAAGTTTCACAATAAATGAAATATGTTTGCGCCTAAAATAAGGAACAAACCTTCAAATCTTCGTCAACATTATACTTTTACTTGTGACCAACTTGACACTTTTGTCTAAAGAAAAGTTTTATCAAATTCTATTAGAGAACTCATTTATATTCAAAGAAAACGTCCGAGTTGGATGATATTTCTGTTAAAAAGTAGGAATATTTGAAATAGCTACGCGGTATAGCATAACAAGAGAGATCATGGATTTTGTCTTCCATTCTCTCATTTCTTCTTTCTATTTTCTATGCTAATGATTCTTTATAATGAAATTTAGCAATATTAGTGATGGACTAGATTGTACTACAAAATATAGAAGGGTGCTGGAATTACACTATTATTTTCAGGTGCTCCATTAGTTCCAGTATGGTATATATTACTTGAGATATACCTAAATAAACAAGGTAAAAATAAAGTCTTGTATTGATATATATAAAGTGATATTTTATAATTTATATTAAATGTCTTAATCTAATACACAGCTAGTCTGTCTGTCTGTTATCAATGATTTATGATATAAATAAATATTCATATTGCTTAATTATTAGTGATATCAATTTATC